TCATATGTGTGTCATACTCTGTCCTTGATTGTTTAAGGAGCATCCCATGAATTTATCACTGCAGAATGCTTCTAATGTCCCTCTGATAATTCTACTCAGCAGAGAAAATACTTATGTGGCTGAAACTCTGTTAAATTTATTGGCGCCAGGTTTATGGCCTGGAATATGCTGTGTCTTGGTTAAAAAAAATAAACTTCACATGCATTTGACAATAATGTATTATGTGTATATTGAGTGGAATGCTGCATAAATGTCAGTCAGATCAAGGTGATTGACATTTTGTAAAATCTTTCTGTTTGTTTCTCTACTTTATTGATTAGTGCGAGAGGAGTGTTAAGTCTCTAACTCTGGATCACCATATTTCTTCTTGACTGATAACCGTTGGGTTGTGCATTCTAGAGAGCTTCTGTCAGGGCCCTGGCGCTTCTGTGTCACTGGTGAGCTTCACTGCTGCTATTAAAACAAACATCCTTAGTTCTCACACGTTCTTATGTGGCGTGACATGAGAAAAACTATGGCTAGAGCAAAAGGACTGTGCATGTATTGGTCACACACGTGCACACACATGCACATGCATTGGTCGCTCACACACACACACACGCAGAGAGAGAGGGAGGGGGAGAGAGAGAGAGAGAGAGAGAGAGAAGAAGGAGGAGGAGGAGAAGATTGAGATCCCAGGCCTAAATTGCAGGTAAAAATAAAAGTTACATTGATTTGTTTCTTGTTTTTTGATCATATTCTGAGTGTTTTCCTGCTATAAAACTCTTTTACAATAAATAAAACTGAGAAAAGACTCATGTCTGTACAGTTGAAAACTATGGTAATTAATTTTTAACTGACTTTTTTTTTTTTTTCAAATGACATCTGGTAGGTAGCTTTCTACTGAGTCTTGTTTGTTATCCAGTTCACCAGCCACTACCATGCAGTTGGAATATGGTCTGTTTCCATTAATGAGACTACTGATACCATAACATTTAAATCCGTCTTCTTGCTGTTTGTTTTCTGCTTGCTTTGCTTGCTCTCCTTTTCTGAACTTCGGTCTTTCTTTCGATTTCTTTTTAGAGCCTTGGTCGGATTATTTGCTATACTTGGCTGTGATGTTAGCATTTTCCTTAGGGTCACAGCATGCATCTGTAACCTCTCACAGCCTCCCCTCGCACTGCGAAAGAACCCATAGCATCCCCAAGCATCGCCTGTGTGTGGCTGTCACAGGTTTCTGTTATGAAACTCACAACCCACCGCTGTTCCAGAGAAGTTCTAAATACCACTTGTGGGCTTGTGTTCTTTCCTCGGAAAGGCTTGGTGGCTTTCTCATAGTGCTCATCTCCTGGGGACGACACCTTTTAGCCCTTGGCATACTTCAAAATAGCTTTCCTTGTTTCCCCTGGCTTTTTTAACTTGATTTTTTTTTAATTTCTCTATGAATGCCACATTAAGTAAGTTTTGTTGCTTTTTCTTTATGTTTTTATGCTTTTGATTTTTTTTTCTTTTGTCTGCTTTGGGTTGACTCCCTCCCCCCTCTTCTCTTCCTTCCTCCTTCCACACATCCTTATTTTTAGGAGGCAGGGTCTGAGACTGGCCTGGCTACTCTGTATGGATTCCCCTGCCTATTGGGCTTCTGAGTGCTGGGATGATAGGTGTGAGCCACCATGCCCAGCCTTGAGTCCCTTGATGGAAGGATTTATGCTGTTGGTGGAGGTCTTTTCACTTTTCTGGTATAGGCATCTAATGCTATGAATCCCCTCAGCAGTGACTCAGCTGCTTTGACAGATTTTTCTCGCCTTACATTAATTCCAGTTTTTGTATATTTTCAATTTAATTGCTACTTTTCTCTGTGAAAGCTGTTTAATTTTCAAGCATTTGGAAACATCCCATCTGTCTGTCTGTCTGTCTGTCTGTCTGTGATCTATGCACATACTGATGTGGGAGTGTGGACATGTGGGAGGGGTGTCCATGCCTGTGTGCACATGAAGGCGGGCAGCTGACATCCAGTATCTTTCTCAGTTATTCTCCACTATTTGGTGAGACAGGAACTCTTAGTGAACCTGGAGTTCACTGAGTTGGCTGGGCTGGGAAGCCAATGGCTCTCAGGATCAGCTTGGGTTATTTATGGTCTGAACCCTGCTTTATGCCGTCCTTCAGGTCCTTATGCCTGCACATCAGCCACCGACTGAACTGTCTCCCCAGGTCCCAAATTTTCTTACTGCCTTTCTGTTACTGATATTTTTAAAATATCATAAGGCTTGTTCTATTGTTTAATACATACTTTGTCTTATTGAGCCATTGGAAATATTGTCTAGTCTGTAAAAATGCTGTGTATATCAGCTAGGTCATACTGGCTGGTCTTGTTCTTTCCTTCTGTACCTTTGTTGGTTTCCTTCCTTCTACCAGGAGTGGGAGGCCCACATCCCCGGTTGTAATTGTAGGTGGCTGTTTCCTCTCCTGCCCATCAGGTATAGCTTCATGTATCTTAAGGCTTTGGAGCCCAGTTGTTGGAGCACAGGTATTTAGGTTGAGACATCGTCCTGCCAGGGGATACTTCCCAGTGTGCTGTTCTCTTCCTTGTAGCCAATAAACTGTGCTCTGCATTCCCTGACATTAATGTAGTCACTTCCGTTGCTTTCCCTTTTACATTGTTGTGGGTGAAGAGTGTCTTGTAAACAGCATTTTGTTGGGCTATGATTATTTTAATTTGTATGTGTTGTACATGAGTGGATGTACGTGTGTGTGTGTGTGTACCTGTGGAAGTCAAAGATCAACCTTGGGTGTTGTTATTCCTCAGGCACAGTCCACATGGTTTTTTGACATGGAGTCCCTTGCTGGCATGGAACTCACAGGTAGGCTAAGCTGGCTGGCCAGACAGTGCCATTGTCAACCTGTTTCCACCTCTAGAATGATTGACAGATATTCCAGATATCTGCCCGTGCACCATCTCCCTGCACGGGGATTACAAACATAGGCCACCGCTCCTATCTCTTTCTTGCCTGGGTTCTGGGGATTGAACTCACACTAGCAAGGCGAGCTCATTACCGCTTTACAGACTGCAGTTTCCTCAGCCCCGCTTTTTGTTTCGCTCATGCTGCTGCTTGCTGGGTTTCAGTATCTGAGCTCCCCCGCTGGTGTTGCTGGCTCGGGTGGCTGCACAGTAACAGCTGTGTCCTTTGTGTTCGGCTGGTGGTGTTGTCTGTAAGCTTCCTCTCTTGCCAGCTCCTCCCTTCCTGGTCCTCTGGCTAGAGAAAGCCCTTTCTTACAACTCTTTTTTCTGTGCTCAGGGGCATTTCTGGGTGCCAGTATCTCCAGCTCCAAGAGTGGGGAGTAGGAAGCAGAGGAAAACCTAGGGAGCATCCTGCCATATCAGCTCCAGGTGTCGAGGCTGCCTCCTGCCCAGCCTCACTGTCATCTTGTGGTTTACTTATGGCAGTTAGGGCTCTGGTGTGCTGGACGAGAAGACCTGGGAAAGCGTGTTCACTGTCTTTCTGGTAAAGCTTCTTCGCTTTTGCAATTGAACAGCGTTTTGCTTGGTGCAGAGTCCCAGATGGGCAGTCTTGCCTTATCTTCTCATTAAGTTGCAGACGTTGTTCTTTTGTTCCACTGTTTTTGCACCCAAATTATCTTCTCTGAAAAGAACTCTCTAACTTTGCTCGTGCTCTTTTCCACATAATTTTTCTGGTATTGAGCTACTTGATTATGTTTTGGTGTGATTTTTTTTTCATTTGTTTGTGCTTGGGCTTCATTGAGATTTTTAAAAATTAATTGATTGATTTTTTTAATATGCTGAAAACATAATGTAATTTTTACACAAATCTAATCTATAAATGAACTCTGAATATATTTCCCCATTCCGCTTTTATGCCAGGCAAGCACTGAGCCATACCATCAAGTCCTACTAATTGAGATTGTATCTGTGGGCTTACGATGTGTAAACAATCCTTCTCCAACAGCAGATGACTCAACTGAGTCTATGATAAATAACAACTTTCTTTACCCTGTAGCCTGATGTGTCCTCTACTGTTTAGAGGGTGGGTATCCACGTTCATCAGGTATAGAGAGGTGTGTTCCTCCGCCATGCTGTTTCAAATGCCCAGAGACACAGTTGAAATACGTGACCAAGTCAGGAGCTCAGAAGACACAGAGTTACTTAAGGAAGGGAGGCATGTGGAGGAATGGGCAGGTGTTAGAGCACAGGCTTGGAAGCAGGGAGTTGAGTTTGAAGACCCCATCTGTTGCTACATGTTGGAAATGGTATTAAAATCTGGATACTCCAGTGTATCAGACAGGGTAATGTTACTTGCCCAATAAGCTAATATGTGGATTATGTAAGTGAGTACAAAACTTGGATGGCTAAGTCCTGGTGAAAATGGAGGTGTGTGTGTGTGTGTGTGTGTGTGTGTGTGTGTGTTCACACACCTGTGCATACTCATGTGAATGCAGAAGAGGGCATTGGGTGCCTTGCCATAATTCCTTGAGATTTGGTCTCCTACTGAATCTTGATTTTTGGGGGGAGGAGGCTAGGCTTCCTAAACAACATGCTCCCACAATCTACTTGTCTGTGCCTGTCAGGGCTGGAGTAACAGTGCTCAAGTTAACCCAGAATTTACCAGGAACTCCAAACTCAGGTTTTCATGCTTGTGTGGCAAGTACTCTCTTACCCACTGTGGCATCTCGACAGCAGACCAGGCTGGCCTCTGATCCATGATCCTCCAGCCTCTGCTTCTTCAGAATATCCTCTGGCACACACTGTCGTGCTGACAATTTTACTTATTAAAATAATTTGAACTTCACAGCAAAATTTGGCGGGAAATACAGGGGTCTTCCTCCATATGCATGTCATCCCTCCCCTTAATGCCTTGTCTCACACCAGAGTGCATCTGTAGAGCGTAGCTGTGGGCAGGCCTGCTTTTCGTCCTGCCCGGCTCCCGCATGGTTAGCTTTACACCCGAAATAACAACACACAAATTGTATTCTTTTAAACACTGCCTGGCCCATTATATCTAGCCTCTTCTTGTCTAACTCTCATATCTTGATTAACCCATTTCTATTAATGTGTAGCACCACGAGGTGGTGGCTTACCGGGAAGATTCTAACCTGCGTCCTTCTCGGCTCGGAGAATCATTGCGTCTGCCTTCTACCCAGCATCCTGTTCTGTTTACTCCACTTACCTAATTTTCTGTCCTATCAAAGGGCCAAGGCAGTTTCTTTATTAAACAATGGAAGTAACACATAGACAGATGACCCTCCTCCATCATGCATCCTCTGAAATAACGGTTGTTGGACCATCGCCACACATAACCACCTTAAGCTCTGCTCTTGGTTTAACGTCTGCTAGTTTTGGCAGATACGTAATGACATGTGTCCACCATTGTGGTAACATAGAGAATAGTTTCATTGCTGTAAAAGTCCCCGTGTACTACTTGCTCATCTCTTTCTTCCTTCCATGAGCCCACTCATCTTTAACTGTCCCCATAGTTTCCTTTTCCAAAGTGTTATGGACTTGGGTTCACACAGAGTGTGGCCTTTTCAGATTGGTTTCTTTCAACAAATAAAGTGTGCTTAATGTTCTTCCATGTCTTTTAATGATTTAAAAACAAGCACACTTCTCTTAGTGGTCAGTACTGTCAACTTACCCGCTGAAGGCCTCCTTTTCATCTGACTTATGGCAGTCACGAGTATAGCTGCTGTAAGCGTTTGTCTGTGGCTTCGTAACTCAAATAAAGAACTGGGAGCCATTGCTGGGTCTTCTGAGAAGAGGACTCCTTGCTTCGTAGGATGCTGAGGGTTCTTTCAAAGTGGTTGTACCATTCAGCAGGCCCAGGAATGAATGGGAGTCCCCGCTGCTCCGTATCTTGGCTAGCATTTGTTTGTATCAGGGGTCAGTTTTGAGGTTATAGTCATTCTAATAAATTATGTCATTGTTTAAATTTGTGGTTTCTTAGTGACATAGGATGTTGAACATATTTCCATATGCTGCTTGCTGCCTGTATGTCTTCAGTGAGATGTCCACTGTTTGTTCTCTTTCTAGTCAGGTCATTCATGTTCATGTTGAGTTTAAAGTGTTCTTTATATATGTTGGTGCTGTTTCTATTTTTATTGTAATATGTTATTATTGTCCTGAGTGCCCGCACCAGGGATGCTTTGAGACCTGTGCATAGCTGAAAAAGAAAACCCACATATAAATATTTCTCCTTTTTTGTGAGAGAGATAGAGAAATTATTTTTCACCTGGAAAAGACAAAGAAAAGAAACATTGTTTTTCTCGGTTGCTTTGATCGAGAAAGATCTTCAGGCTGCCTTGTATAAACAGCCCGCACTCCATGTTTCCAGCCATGGATGAGGAGCGAAACTGCCACCCAGCTCAGCATTCCCTCCCTTTTATGAATCCACTAGGAATTCAGGGCTGACATGCGACCTGTTAGCAAGTCACCTTAACTTCCAGACAGCTATTCAAACTAGTTGCTAATGCTACTGAAGAGGAGCTTGCCCTGTAGTGGTAAGAGGCTTTATATTTCACTGTCTGGCTCCCACTCTTCCAGCTTCACAGTGATGGGTTTATATTACAGGGCTCATTTTCATTTTATGTCTTTTTATTTACACACCAATTCTTTTGGAAGTAATTTTAATTCTCTGTTTAATGAGAGAGGGGCTCTGTGTCTGTGCATTCCTATATAAAAGAAAGAAAATGATTGTTTTTAATGCAGATTTGAAGGAAATATAATGGATTTCAGCTACAACAATTTCTCCTCATTTAGAAGAGATGAACACCTAGTTAGATGAGCAATGTCATTCCTCCTATAATCGGAATACGTCCTGTTTCCATGACAACCTGTACTTACCAGATTGCCTGGTAAAAGAAGTATTTTGATTCTGTCTTTGATAAAGGACTTGACCACTTTCATCATTCTGACAATTTAATTCTATTCAGGTCTTTTCCCCCTACTTTTAACATGGGCTGCTTTTGAGAGTTAGGGTCTCGAGCCCATTTTAGAGGTGAATCTCCTCCAGAATGAAAGGAGAGGCCTCCCCAGGCAAATGCCGATGACCATAGGAAATGAGAATGCTGCCAACGGTCAAGTCATAGTCATTTTCTGGAATCTTCCCATTAAATTAAATCAACAGCCACAATGCCCCAACTTATTAAGATGCTGTTTGATCTGTGAAGGAATGAGTCTACTGTTCATTTCCATTTGGACTCTCTAAACGGGAAGCTCCTCTCTCTGCTACTAATTTATGTCTGTCTTTATGAATGGTCTGTGTCCTCCTACAGCTAAATTCTGTTCTTGAAAAGAAAGTGCTGTTAATGATTTTCTCTCAAAATAAAAAATAGGGAATTATTTGCATCATTAACAATGCTTTTTCAAAATTTGAGAAATAACAGCCCTACATTTTATCGACAAGATTATGTTTAATGTAACATAAAATATTTAACTTCAATATGGTAAGAAAACATGACCCTTGGGCATTTTAGGAATACAGGGAATTGAACAAAAATGTGGGAGTATTCAGTCTAGTTCTGAAGGGTCTATTGGGTTTGGGAGAACAAAGTGATTATTTGGTATCCCCAAATAATTGTCAACCATAGCAGTTCTTTATGGCCTGAAAAACTCAATATGAAGTCACCAGAGGGCCACCAGGTATCTCATTGTCTATCAGACATGATGTTTTGTAACAGACCTCCTTTGTTAATAGGTACAGGGTGATAGCCTCTGAGAGTAACTAAGAAACTTTTAAAGCAATGGTGCAACCCACAATGTAACAGTATGTGTATATTATGTAAAGAGGGAAGTAAAAACAAGTGAGACATCATCAGGCCTCTCTGTATCTATCATTCTTGTTGATATTTGCCCCAGGTCAGGAGACTTCCTAACGTAGAGGTTCCCCCAGCTGAACTCTTTGTCAGCGTCTTCATGATTAGCACTTAGTAGGGAAGTTACAGGTCTGAAAATGTTGCACAGTTATATTATTTTTTTAAATGTTGCTTTATTTTAAATCCTGCTTTATTTTTTTTAACTTATTGATTGCCCATAAATGGTGAATCCTCAAGCTTTAGTGTACTCAACTCTTCAGGAGTAAATGACTGGTCTGGACAGATGGCTCAGACGTTGAGTACTTGCCCACACAAACAAACAAGTTCTGAATCCTCAGCATCTACATAAGCATCTGAGCACGGACATCTGAGCAGAGACAGGAGGTCCCTGGATCTCTCTGGCCTCCCAACCTAGCTGAATCATTGAGACCAGCTCCAGTGAGAGACCTTATCTCGAAAAGGTGGACTGGACTGGGACTGCATATGTGAACCTATATAAACACACACTAACATACACCCATGCCACCACCACCACACCAAGGGGAGAAAGAAGACACATGATTTATCGGGATATTTAAACAGGTGCTTTGATGAAGGAAGGTATCCTTCTCCTGCAGGGTCACTATTCAGACATTTTCAAGTGCCTCGCCATAAATATTACTTTATAGTATTTTTTTTTTGAGGTCTTCAGAGGCAAGCTCTCACTTCGACTAACTGACCTACAGGCTACTTCTAGCTGATCAGCTACTTCAGTTTGCTAGGTTTTCCAGGGCAGGATACTAGGACATACCATTCAGTGCTCAAACCAGCACAGTCTTGAGCAAATAAGAAGGTCAGAAGACTTAGTAACTCTAAAGTTACTAACAGTTCATAGAATAGCTATGAACTATAGAATATTCTATGAGCAGTTCATAGAATAGCTATGCGGCCTTTGCCAACGCCTCCAACAGGGCAAAGGAGAACATGTTTATCCCATCTACCAAGACTAAAAGACTGGCCCCAGCAGCAAGAATGACAATGTCAGACCACCATGCAGTCACAGCACAGGTTCCTTCCTTCCTTGAAGTTCCTACGGCTAGGCACATGACCCTTATTTCTACAGCAACAACTAAAACAGTGTTAATTCCCAGCAGCCAGTGTAAGTGTTTCTAAATTGAATACTTTGTGTCCCTGCTTGGCAATCCTCTGCATCTCTCTGTATCTCACACAATGAATGGAATTTTCCCAGACCCTCAGAGGGTGGTTAGAGATTGTGAATGGCAAAAAGAAAAAGTCTCAGGTATGGAGGAGATGTCAGCACCACATTGTGGGGACCAAGTGTAGAGTGGGCAAACCAGACCAGTAGATCTGATTCTCCCATGAGCTAGGCAGATGCTGGGAACTGGGCTGCAGGATTGGGAAGGGGCCAGGCCTGTCCCCATGAGCTCTCTCTCTCTCATGTTAAGGCTAAGCTTAGACACACCAAGGGAATAGAGGCGAGTTTGCTTGGATTGTGTATATTTTCAAATATATTCAATATATGTTTACATATTTCCAAGAATATGTAAATAGAGGTATGTGTATGCACCTCTATTTATATACACACGAGTATATATCCACATACATTTAGAAATAAACTTCCAACTGTGTTTGGAAAGGTGGGAGGAGGTACGGAGGATTCAGATGCTGGACTGGAGAATTCAGATCTCAGCCAGGGAGAGGAGGCCATTTGGGGCCTTGAACAAAGAAGGAATAAAACAAAGCACATTGTAGGAGGTGAAAATATTATCCATGGACAGGAGGAGGAGTGGACACTGAGAACAAGACTCTCACCATCCTTTATATACCTTTTTCAGTTCCTTACCAAATCTTGGTGGTGTGCCAGCAGGTGGCAGACCTGTGCAGTGTGCTGGGACAGACACAGGAAGACGAGGGTCCCAGACTTCCCCTCAGGGTCCAGATACTCCAGTGTGGTAGATGCACTGTAGTAGATTCAGGAAGCTTGTGGCATGGGCTCTGAAAGAAAAAACCAACAGAAGGTGAAGTGAGAGACAGGGCAAGCTATGAGGAGCAGAGGGATGGTCAATAAAGGGACAGATGCACAGGTACTGTGCAGCCCTGGAGAAGTTCTGAGCTCAGGAAAGAGGACAGCTCTGTCATGGAATCGGTGTTTGGAGGCTTGGACCTAGGCTGCTGTGTCTGTTGTTCAGAAGACATGGGTTGGAGGTCGGAAGGCTGGCCAAGGGAGTGTAGTTAGTGCTCTTTCTGTTCTTTGCTGAAACTCAAGAAATGAGGAGCAGGAGTGGGTGGCATCCTCAAGAAGGAAGGAGCACCAACTCAGAAGGTGTGGAGAAGACAGGACATGGCCCACAACTGGCACATGGGTGACGATGGAGTTCAGAATGCCCTGACTTCGTTGCCCCATTTTTCTAGGCTCAGTGATCAAAAGACCACATTCTTCAAGTCCAGTACGATTTCCTTTACACCTCTTTTCATTTGCCGCTCAGAACCAGACCCTCGGGGCCATTAGAACCTCTAACAGTGGTTGAGGTCCATAACACTGGTTGAGCTTTTACTGTGTGCAGCTTATGAAGAGGACACTCATACCAAAGGGAACTCATGTTAGCATCTCTTTTTCTTGGGTGAGACATATGGGCCTAGCAAGTTTAATGTCCGTGGAGTGCAGCTAAATCCTAGTTCAAACCCAGGTACAGCCTCTGCTGTTAACGTGCACTGTAGTCTCCCCTCGCCCCATTAGAGTCCCCAACTAGTTTCATGCCCCCACCCCTCAAAGCTATGCCTTTAAAATCAAGCAACTGTGGTTTTGCTGGAGGCTCTTTGCAGGTGGATGCCCCAGGCTTGTGTCTTCTTTCACCTTGTGTCTGGAGAGTCTGGGGCCCGCCACCTAGTGGCCACAGACATCCTTTTTCTTTGGCATTCCTAGGTGGAAGCAGGCCCAGGTATTTATAGCAAGCACCACAAGCTATAAACAGGAAACTTCTTAGCCTCAGAGAAGGAGCCCAGCAATGTAAACAGCATATCGCCAATGCAGGCTGATGTGGGATTCCCCTCTGTATGCTGTGAATACCATTGGTTAATAAGGAAACTGTCTTGGGCCTGCGCAGGGAATAGAGGTAGTCAAGGGAAGCTAAACTGAATGTTGGGAGAAAGGAGGCACAGTCAGAGAGAAGCCATGTAGCCCCACCGGACACAGATGCTGGAACTTTTCCAGGTAAGCCACAGCCTCGTGGCGATACACAGATTAGTAGTTAATTAAGTTAAATTAAGATGTGTTAGCCAATAAGAAGCTAGAACTAATGGGCCAAGCAGTGACTTAAGTATAGTTTCTGTGTGATTATTTCAGTTCTTGGTGGCTGGGACAAACAAGCGGGCTCCTTACTACAGAGGGCCTGTACCCATCCAACAAACACTTAATCTGTGACTCCAGATCTAGCCGTATACTTGCATACACCCTGGTCGCTGGGACATAGGTTTCTCCTGTCTATATTGTTCACTGGTGATCTCAAGAGCCTAGGATGGTGGCATTTGCAGAGCAGATGTGCAAGCATTCTACTGGGTGGAATATTGGCGGCATCTTTGTGACTGCCCTGTGATGTGCACGTTTTCTCGTTTAATGACGGCTTGTGGGATCAATGGCTTAGAATGCCCATTGCTCACATGTGGAATCTCGGCACCCAGGACTCGGACTTTTTAGCCTCAGAGACTCCACGTTTAACTGCTGGGATCTACTCTGTGCTGAGTTTTGTGGGTAGCATTCCCATTATGTAGACGCACGATAGAACTGTCTCCCATCAAAGAAACCACCAGACATTTACACTCGCTTTCTGACATTGGAGTAGAAGGCTTACCTCCTGGTGCTGTGACAGCATGTGTAAGTGAAGGGACTGTCACTAGTTTGCCCTCAACGGTATGACTTGCACAGTCTCTCCATGCATCCTTCATTGTTCAAAGGATGGGACTGAGTTAGCATCCTTGCCTTTCCTTCCCTGCCAACTCCAACATTCTACTGTTTCTGTGCCTCCCAGGGAGTCGGATATGAGTGGAAGAGAGAGGACCACTTGTTACTAGGCAACCAGCACTCGCCTCACCCATGTTGCCATGGTGATGATGAAAGTTGGGCTGATGGGATTACCAGCTCCTGCTAATTGCACATAAGCACCCAAGGTCTCTGTCTTTTTCTTGCTTGCTCACTGGCTTCGACTCTCTTGTTCTTCTAGGAACCATAAAAAGAGCTTCTCTCTCATCTGTAGTCCTCCTGGGGCATCCCTGGTACACTAGTGGAAAGCCACTGGAAATGGAGCTTGGCTGTGCCTCTGAGCAGCTGTGTGACCTTGGGCAAGTTACCCAGCTTCTCTGGGCCTCCATTTCCTCATTTGGAAAACGAAGGGGTTGGAAATGCTGAGCCCTGCTGAAGGTTCTTCCTAGCTCTCAAATCCTTTGATGCTTAGGGAGCATGTCAGGGGAACAGACCACACTGTTACCAGGCAACCAGCAGGCACCCTGCCCAAGTTGCCTTGGTGACTGGATACTGGAGGGGAGGGGAGTCACTGCTGCAGCTAATTGCTTAATTATTTATGAGTGCCTCAAGTCCTCTCTGTTGTTTTTGTTGCTAGGGGCTGTGGGGTCACCTTCTCCTCTCTTCTGCCATCCCAAGGCATCTGCATTGTGTGTTACGCAATGAGAGAGCACCTTGGCCTGGACCTCAAGCGACCCACATCCTAGTTCTGCTTCTGTAATGTCCTAGAGCAGTGGTCTCAGGTAAGTCAGTTCACCTCCCCAGGCCTTGAGTTTCCTTTCCCATAGCCGTGCGTTTGTTTAGGGGAACCCCAAGTGCCTCATCGACCCAGAGGTTCTGACTCCTGCCATCTACTTGTGAAGCGAGGAATACAAGCAAAATGTTCCAGATTTGTTTTCAGCGAAGTATAATTTTGAAGCATGTCGAGAATCAACATGTGCTCGGTGGGAAGGGGACAGGAGTGCTCGCCGTCGCCTCTCCTTGCCTTGGTCGTGCTGCCTGAATTCCTTACTCACCTGAGGCCACTTATATTTTACTCATTATGTACCACCGACTTCCCGTATAGATTTCAGGCTTTCACAATATAAGATACAGTTAGGCCATTATAGGATAAGTAGAGACTAATGTAATTTTGAGCACCTTAGAAGCTAAGGCAAAAGAGTAATATATAATGCAGAAAAACTTTCAGACTTCTTCCAATCCTAGAAGGGGATTTATCATGTGACTTTTTATTTTATAGGAACTGCGCATAGACATTTAAAACTAGACCTTTCTGGCTGAGTGATTGTCACAGGGGATGAGGAAGAACCAAACCGCGACAGTCTGGCTAGTTCCGATCATTAGAAAGCAGCCATCCTTCCTACTGACATCTTAGAATTTCATACAGATAAATGTCACTTAGTAAGTTTGAGTCCTCAGAGTCGGGAGCTATTTATATCTCACATGCATGGATATTTGCTTATCTTGTACGATTTGGCAACATGTATCAGATTTTTAAATGCAGGCAGCTGTCCCCATCCCCCGAACTCATTCTGAAGTAAGCCTGTACAGATGAGGTTTTAATTATGAAGATGCCCATGGTGAAGTGAACTTAGAAAAGAAAATGGCTAGCAAGTACATACTGTTGGAGGCTACGTCTTTACAATAAGTCCTGGTGACACCCTGGTGGTGAGGTAGATCTGTATGTTTTGATATGGAAAAATGTTCAGAGACATAATGTTGAATAAGAAAAGAAAGTGCAGCATTGATGATAAATGCATATTCTTCTCTATAAAAAGACTGGGAGATACAGTTTATAAATTGAGATGTATGTTTGTATACACAGATGTGTATTTTTCCAGAAGCTGTGAGCAGCAGTTTCCTCTGGGAGGCAGATTGATCGCCTTGGGAAGGAAAAAGACCTCTCTCTTCTACGACTTATTTTCACTCTCTAGACCTTTATTTTTTATTTAGACGGGCAGAAGAGCCTGGCAGTGGAAACCCTGAACTCTAGAGTTCAAACCCCGGCTCTGCCATGTTCTAGTCATATGACCGTAGGTTAACCTGCCTACTCTGTCTCACATATATAAGATGGGTGGACGGTACCCTCCGCATCACATTATTGATGGGGTACACAAGCTAATAGGATAGAGCTCTCAGAAAGGCTCTATCAATGCTGTGTATGTGCTCTTGTGGAAAGGTTAAAGCGAGATCAGGCAACAGATGCATCTGGTCGGGTGGATCCTAGGACCTCAGTGATGGAAGACTCGATCAGATAGTCAAATTTTCAGAATCTTGCACTACCTGGAAGTTGCATTTCAAGAAGGGATGGCAAAGCACACATCATATTCTGTTGTCATTTGATCTTACCTTGGCGAGTTCATGCGGAAGACTGAGGTCCTGGGTTCAGAACAACATGAACCTATAAAGCCCCCGTCCCATCATGTTCTCCCTCAAGCAGAACGCAAAATGAATGCTGTCAAGTAGAAAATGGACTGGGTGACCAACGCCGTGTCCTCAGCTATCGGAGGCCAGAAAGGTACTATCTTCAAATGTGTGCTAAAGAATTGTCCAGGGCTCCTAGCATGCTTCCAGGCCTTTGCCTTTCTTGTGGAGAGAGTAACAGAGGCCTAGGAGGAGCCTTGTTAGAGGGTTCCTCTTATTGTGAACTCAGGAGTCTGATGGCTACAGTGACTTCCTGGATTTTCACATGTGTAGGCTGTTATGTACAGAACGGCAGCTTCCTCCCCCTTCCTCTGCCATGCTTGGAGGCAGACCTGAAGAACTTTGACCGACTCTAAGGAGAGGGAAGGAAGATAGCCCTGGCCCCTTAAACACACAGATAGGCAACTTTATTCTCACCACTACGTATGCAAAGCTTCAATACTCCACCGTCTCAGAGTTGCCAGATTCCATCTTTGTCAAATACCTTGTTTCTGCACTCTCAGACGCTGGAGCCTCTTTATCTGTTCGGCCATTGGTCCTCTCTCCATCTATCTGCCATTTCCAACTGTGCTTCCATCTGCCCTTCCATCCCTCTGTGCCTCCTCTAGCCATCTGCCAGCCTTCCCATCCATCCAGTCTTCAGATTGTTGGTATGTCAAGCCCACTCTCCTTCCTCGCTCGCAATGTTGGACTCTGAGACTCCATCCGCACTGATCCATTGACCAGACCTTCCATCTGCCCTTGGTCCCAGCTGTGCGGTCAGCCGGGTGACTGTTCTTCTCCCTCGGGTCCCCTGCTCGGCCCGGGCGGGGTGGCCTTTGTTGGGCTGGGGCAGGGCCGAGGCCGGCCGGGGCGGGGCGGGGCGCGGGGCGGGGCTGGCGCTGGGAGACTATCAAGCTCTCGGGTCCTCGCGCGGCCTGGCCGGCGGAGAACATGGCGCTGCCCCCGGCCGCCGCGCCCCCCGGGGCTGGCGAGCCTCTCGGCCTGCCGCTGTCGCCTCTGCGGCCCGAGGCGGGCGGCGTCCCGCTGCACTCGCCCTGGACCTTCTGGCTGGACAGGTGAGGGCCGCGCCCCGCCGCTTTGTCTCGACCGCGTCCTCGCCCCACGCGCGCTGCTGCCGGGGGGTTCTCGCGCGGGCGCAGCCAGAGTTTCGCACGTCCCCGGATAGTATCCAGCCCGCCTGGCCCAGAGTCGCGGCTGGCCGGGAGAGGCTGACCCGCGTGTCCCCCGAGGCGCTGGGCTTGCTGCGACCTTCGCGGCGACTGCAGTCAAAAGTCATGCGGCCAGGCTGGGACCTCGCTGCGGGCACCTGCGCCTCTGGCCCAGGCGGGGGGGTCTGGAATAGGCAGGGGCTTCAGTGATACAGGACAGCTTTGTGGGGGACAGCTCAGGTGCCCTCGCCTCCGAGAGGCCTCAGCGGCATCCCTGTCTAAAATAGAAACTTCTCTTACCGTCCTGAGTCTCCATCCTGCCTTGTTTTTCTTCACAGTGCTCAACGCCATCGCGTTCTTCCAGAGTAAAAATAAGTTCTTCCAACTTATTTTCACTTTGTTTCCAGCCCTCCATTGCTTGCCCTGAGCGAGATGCACAGAGCAGGGGCAGACTTTTAATGTTTGCAGAGTCCCGCACCTAGTACTGTGCCTGAGTGGTAGTAGGACACCTAGTCTTGATGCGTGGATAGATGCGTGGATAGATGCGTGGATATCCTGTCAGCTTAACACCTGTCATCTGTGTGAGTAATGATAGCTCAAGTTGTTTCCAAAAGTGTGTGGGAAGTTTTGGTAAAAACTGTGTCTACCATAGTTTCTGAGTTAGGAGGAAATGTATGTGACAGTTTCCGGAGAGACTTCGTCTTACAGTCTACACTGATATTTTTTTTAATTAATTAATGTTTTTTCAGCTTAGCACCAAATGCCAGCCAGTTTCTTTTTAAATGATACTGCTGTTTTAAGTGAAGACATTTCTTTTCCTAATGGATTAGCACCTACCTCAAAGAATTGACACCTAGAGCCAGTTTGTTTTCCTGGGACCCAGAGAAGTTGGGGGTGGGGGTGAGTCTCGTTTGCAAAACATTTTCACTTTCATTCGGAGATTCCAGCATTTTACTGTCATAACAAGAGTGATTTGGGGGTTTAGCAGTCAGTAGCAAAGTGAAGTCATGTCTTTGTTTGCAAATGAGTCCTTTTACAGTGCAGTTGTTACCTGGGCCTCTGGTCCAAACTTCAGACTGACCAGGAGAAAGATGACCAGGATGGAGAGAACTCCACCTTCGGTAGATTTAGTCTACTTAGAGTGACACATTTTAGGACTAGTCTAAGGTATCAATGCTGTATTCCCAAATGTGCTATACGAAAGCATCTAATGTCTTTTAACACAATATGTAGGCTGGTGGTGTATCTTGGTGGTGGGGCACGTGGTGCATCACGAACCAGGCCCCGGGTTCCATTCCTAGCCCTGGGGCAGAGAGAGAATAGCCCTAAGAATAAGCTCTAATAAAAGCACAAATTATGTCTTATATTGATTTGTACTCCCCCACCCTCTAAAAAGTCAATAAATGAAATGTGTTCTTTCTGTAGTGCCTGAACCTTTAATAGAGACGCAGCATTCATTTAGAAATTATAACTAGTTTCAACATTATGCCTGATCCATCATCTCATAATTTTTATTGAACTTTATTTTACTTCTCTGAGACTCTATGTATTTATAGATGCTCCACCCGCCTGCAGGCACACTCAGGGCTGTGAAAATCTCAAGTTCTAGAAGCTGGGATTTTCCCTCAGGGAAGTGACATTGCAGAGAGTGGGGTGAGAGCCCCACAGGAAACCCAGCCTTCCCCCAGTCTGGAGACACACAGCATCCAAAGGCCCTGCCACCTGGAGCTTTCTTCTTAGCAATTCCCACCATCACCTTGCCCAGGCTCACCTAGCTGCACTCCACTGTTAAGGGAGTACGACTGTGGCAGTTGTCACACAGGGCTATTGTGAGCCATGGTGCCTGGCGTGGAGTAACAGCTTAGTGTCAACTGATGGGGCAGAGGAGCTAGCTGGGCTGGTAAGATGCACGGGAGGTCCTGCATTCCCCTGCCGCTCCCCAGGCATAGTGGTGTAGCACTCACAAGTACTCACGCAGTGCTTGTAGTCTCACAAGTACTCGTGCAGCACTGGGGAGGCAGAGACCAGTGGATCACTCGTGCTCACTGGCCAGCCAGACTATCCTCACTTGGTTTATGCTCCAGCCTAGTGAGAGACCCTATCTGGGAAAGACCAAGGCAGACAGCATTACTGAGGAAGGACACCTGGCGTTGACCCCAGGCCTCTATATGCATACACATGCATCACGGTCTACAGAACAGCTGATATGAATTCAGTATTAGGAAGCCAACATCCTACGTTCATTTCCTCACTAGGCAAATTGGAGGAGCCTTTAGAAGTTATATGCATGAAGTCCTTACTTGTTTGAAAACCAGTGGGCTATGTGACGAAAGATGTCAGTATGTGGGTCAGGACACCCGATGAAGAGACTTCTTCCCTTCAGTAGGTGTTTAGATCCTCTGTCCCCTCTGTTCTTGCCTTTACTCCCACTAGTGTCTCTGTGTGTTTCCTGGTCATTGTATGGCGACCTCCTTCCTTGTGTTTCTCACAGGACCCAACCCTTGGGCCTGCCCTGCACAGGGAGGGCTGCCACTCAGGCTCTAGGCTGGCTTGCAGCTCCTGCTGGGGCAGATGACAGAACACCACAGGTCTCCACTTCCCATGCACCATGCACCACTTCCCATGCACCACTTCCCATGCACCATGCCGCCTTCTTGGCTGCTCGCACAGCTGTCCCCTGGGGTCTTCTGAGCTTAGATATGAGCAGTTAACAGTTAATGCCGTCTCTATCCTTCCAGCTTCTGAGCCCCCAAATCCTGGAGGCGCTGTCATTATCCTTGCCCAGCATAGAAACTGAAGAGTAACTTGGAGACTACGCTCTTTAGCTCCCACTGAGCACTCTTACTGCCTGGCTGCCCTCCCTCCTGCCTCTGCCCTGCACTCCTTGGCTGCCTCGCTCTTTCTCTGATATCCCAAGCACGGGCCTTTGCCAGTGTTGCTGCTGCTCCTGCTGCTGTCGCTGTCTGGACTACCTCACTAAGTCTGCTCTTGGTATCCTTCCAGTTTCTGCTCCTTTGTCATCTTCTGAGTGAGACCTTCCCTGACCACTGATGTGGAAGGGCACACATGCCTCCCCGTGTGTGTCCCTGATGTGTTACATTTTGTCTTTATAATCTTCACCAGTGGCTGGTCTCTCTCTAGAATGTGAGCCTATGAGAGCATAGCTCTGATCCTGTCACTCACTTGGCTTCTAGACCTGACGTAATGTTCACGGTGGCATTGAATTCTTATCACAGCAACTGTGCTTTCCTATGGTGGCTCATTGTACTCTTTCACATCTATGGGTAAACCTTAGTTCTCTTCTCAAGTCTAGACACATACAGCCAAGAACCAGGAGGTCCACAGTCTGGATGCTCTCCTGATTACTCCAAATGGGGCTGATTTCTCTCCAGCGGCTTCCTCTTCTGCTCCCCCGTGTTGCCTCACATCCCCATCCTACTATCAGCATCTCAATGTTGTCTTCTGTCTGATCCTTAAATCTTCTTTTATAAGTATGCTGTTCGATCCATAGCTATAATTTTGTAGTCTTAATGACCCTTAGCAAACTTACTAAAGTCTAAGACTTCGCCTCTCACTCACTCTTTCTGCTGGCCCTGGTTATCTGTAGCTCCTGCCTAACCCTCTGGAGTGCTGGAATTTCAGGCATGAGCCACCACACCTGGCTTTAGACATGAGCTCGATATGAAAAAAAAAATTACTTGTTTTTGTTTTCTTTTGTTTTTAAGGAAACTCTTACTTACAAGTTATGGTACCAATTTGTGTTTTGCTGTTTTAAGTTCAAAACACTCCTTTTGGCCTGGCCATTACCTTCTCCAGTTCCAAAGTACTGCCATTTATTTCCCCTGCCTCCCAGTAACAGCAAACTTCTGGTGCTTGTCTTGCTAGGGACTTCACTGCTAATGACCCTTGTCTCTTGGGCTCCAGCTGTTTGGGATGCAGGATGACTCCTGGTCTACCTAGAGGGCCCGGCTGACACAGTGCTCCTGAGTCATGGTGCTTGCAGATTCTGTTACTCTTTGGTTCCTCCACAGCATTTCTTTCTAGGCAAGCATCTTATTATGGTTAGTTTATCTTTTGTCTCTTATTCTTGATGGTGAGATGCTAATATCTTCAGGTCTGTGACCAAAGGGAGTGCCTGGTACATAGCAAGTGTTTTATATTTGTGGACTTACATTGTTGTTGTTGTTATGTTATTATTATTGCCGCCGCCGTTGTTGTTGTTGTGTGTATGAGCCTTTTACTTAATACATGTCTGTCTGTAGAGCACATGTATGTCTGGTGCCCACAGGGACCACAAGAGGTTAAAGCTGCGATGTGAGTGCTGGGACTCGAACCCAGGACCTCTGGAAGAACAGCCATTATTCTTAACTACTGAGCAGTCTCGTCAGCCCTGAGCTTCTGTTTTGATCACAAACATGGACCATTATCTACATCTACCACCCTGTCCAGCTTAGCTGGACCAAATTTGTGTGTCTAAAGGTGTGATCCTCTCACTCTTCCATCAGAATCCCCAGCCTGGGCTGTTAAAATATTAGTTTCTACCCTGCCCAGGACCACTCAGTACGACCTCTAGGTACAGAAGACGATGCACTTGTCACAAATGGTCCCTGTTTCTGAACTGGAATGTC